AAAAGAGAGGATGCAGCAAAAAATGCTTGTGTATTCCTTATTACTTTTTCACATATGATTTGATTTCACTTATGTTTGTATAACATTTAACAGAAACATGCATAGACAATAAAGATTGGAAGGTGCAAGGGGTAGATTAGAAAATGAAAGCAAAGAGTGAGCGAAGATCATAAGTATTAGATAATAGATAATCTTAGTTGCATCAAAGGGATAAGGGAAGAGAATGAGATGATACAGAGTGGGTTGAGAGCAGAGATATAAAATAATAGATAATCTTAAATATCACACCAATGGAATTTTCACAGGGCTAGCTACCAATTAATTATTATTCATTTTGGGGGGAATTTCTGTGATAAGGAATTATCATTATTATATGATTTGAAATTTGGACCAGCATGTGCATCTTGATTGTTATAATCAAGCAAGTTGAGCATGCTGGTCAAAAATATATAATAATCTTATTATCTATATTTCTGAAATAAGACATTGTTACTATTTACATTATTTACATCATTTGGACTATTGTCCTCATCTTTATTACTATATTCACTATGTTTTGGATAATTTGGTTTTGCTTTGATATTCCAACATATCATCTGATGAAGGCCGGAGTGTACAATGGCGAAAATCTGGTAATAAATATGGCATCAAAGATGAAGACAATAGTCTAAACAATGTAAATATTGTAAATAATTATTATTATATTATGAATTTTTTAGTTCACTTTTGTTAATATTATTATGGCACACTGAGTCAAATATTCTCCTACAATTAAAATGATGGTTAGTGGATATTCAAATCTAAAATGTGTCAATAACATGAATAAAAACTTAGTAAAAAATAATGAAATTTGTTAATGGGCATTTGACCATAAGACTGACATTTTTGCAATCAACACCAAATCAATATACAATCAATAATTTTTAAGTGATTTGCTATCAGATATCTACAGAAAATCCAAACCAATTTTATATGAATGAAAGAAGCTTTTTCATTCCTCCAAAATTTAAGGAATCATTTTTTGCATAATATTTTGAACATCTATCAGCAAAAAGTTTCTTCTAAGTAATTAACATCTGAAAAACAAGCAAGAATTTTCATCAACTTTTCTCTGTCGAGATGATCATAATAGTCTTCTTCTATAAACCGTGTCCCTTCAGAACATGAAAGTTCATGGTTCTCCACAACTTTCTATTTTCTTAGTGAAATCTGTCTTTTCACCAAACAGCCCAGTCCCTATTCTGTCATCCATTTACACAAACTTCTCACGTAGGTTACTCACTATTACCTTCTGTGACTACACTATGTCTTATGAGTGTCAAATTTTTCATTCATCTTTCCTTATTATATACCCTGTCTCTTTCTGATTCTAAGTCAAGGCTTTCTTTTTATTTTCATTTTTCTTAAAACTTCACCAATGCTCACACATTCAGTCCATGGTATTCTCAGTTAATGCTAGGAGTTAAATAATAACATTTTTCTAGGTTTACTTTCAGCCTTTATATCTTAAAATTATTTGATTGACAAGATTTTTGTATCATTAAATATTTCAATTTAATTAAGGTTTCTACCACACAAATGATAGATATATTCTCAGTTTGTTCTACACCGGGTGCTTGACTATAGTCACTTGTGTAGAGAAAGGTGATTAACATATTGTTGTGGTACGATACACCTAATTTACATAAGTGGAGTACCGACCATATAAATATGGGTTGGTACCGGGAAGACGAGGGAAGTAAGAGATCCAATCCGAGAGACTCTGCCCGACTGCGATTTAGTCAACCCATTATGCAGGAACAGTCTTCCCAAGAATATACCAAAACTAACTGTAAATATTGTGTACCTTTTCCTTGTTTCAATACATTTTGTTTACGTACATTTTGTGTTGTATTATTATTATTCCATGCTTATCCAAGTTTCAACACATATAAAAATACCCATATACTTAATAAATAATTTGTTGTCAGGAAAGGCATCAAAGTCGAAAATGTCCCTTTTTGAAATAGAAACATTACAGGAGCCAACACATTCTAAAAAACAATTCCACTGTAAAAAGTTCCCATCAGTGTTTTGGCCGATTCCCCTCTGTTCACCTATCAGTCTACCTGTCTAATTGTCTATTAGTGAAGGAGAAATAACCCCAACATTCTACATAGGCAGGTTCATACACACACACACTGCGAAAGGAAAAAAAAACAAACTTGTACTAATAAAAAGTGCATATATAAAAGAAAAATGAGGAAATAAACAATCAATTGCTGACTTCTCTTGATGAGTGGATGGAATGATTGCTAGAGGGTCCTCCTATGAAACTCTAGACTCAGGATGCTGAAGGTAGCACTAATCAGCTGACAAACCTTCTATTTGTATTAATTTTATATATATATGCATATATATAAGTTTCTTTAAAGATGATTGACAAAGTGCTGTGGTTAAGCTTTTTATTTAATTTTTCTTGTATCTGTACAAATATTTTCTTTTCTGGACACAAAGTATGTAAAAATGGAAGCACTAATAATAAAAAAGGAAAAAAACCAACACTCAAATTATGAACACAGCCACAATGTGTTAACCGTGTTTTGAAAATAAAATATTCCTATAACTTCAGAAACATACATAAAAACCCAGACATTCAGTTAAAAAATAAAAATCATCCTTGATAACGGCTAAAAGAATGGTTGAAAGCATTTGAATATTCAGTGTGTTTTTCCCATTTTGTATCCAGCAAATAAAGCATTTGTATGAAATAAGAAAATCAAATAAAAAGCTTAATCTCAGTAATATATATATATATATATATATATATATATAAGTTTCTTTAAAGATGACTGACAAGGTACTGTGATTAAGCTGTGCTGAACGTGTTTTGAAAATAAAATATTCCTATAACTTCAGAAACATACATAAAAAAACCCCCAGACATTCAGTTAAAAAATAAAAATCATACTTGATAATGGCTAAAAGAATGGTTGAAAGCATTTGGATATTCAGTGTGTTTCTTTCCAATTTTGTATCCAGCAAAGAAAGCATTTGTATGAAATAAGAAAAATGAAATAAAAAGCTTAATCTCAGTATTGTGTTGGATTTTTAACAAAACATGTATAAAAGAGTGATTGCTGCCCAAATACACACACACATATATATTTATTTATATATATATATATATATATATATATATATATATATATATATATATATATATATATATATAATGCATTCATCTCTATTCCTTCAGTATTTTTCTCTCTTCATCATTCAACATTTATCAATATCAAATTTGTCTTGTTTTAAGTTCAGACTCACTGATCTCTTTCTTCTTCTATTGTAATCTGCAAATCAACCAAGACTTCAATCTGTTTAACTTCTAACATTCAATCAACAATATTGTCTGCTTGGGAAACTTTAAAAACAAAATATTTTTAGGCAAACTATTCTTCATATTTATGTAGATCTCAATAGTTCTGGACTGCATCACGTGATACTTTTTAAAAAATCTTTAACATAAATCTAGTCTTCTTTTAATGAAAACTTTTTACGTAAAGATGGAAGTAGTCTTTTGAATTATCTTTCTACAATAATTAATTATAATTGCAATTAATATAATATTAATAAATGAATTCATATTTTTATTTGTTTGCATTTTATATTAAATATTGACCCAATACCAGGCTTAAGAGTCACTCATGGTATAAGGTTACTTAATGAGATTGCTTTATGGACATAAAAGTAGATAGGTTAACCTATAGCCCTGTTCACACTCCTTGCCGTCTTTTGAACAGGAGTAGAGGTTTGTCCCTTGTTTTCTGTTTAATATTTAATTTTTAGTTCCTTCACCTAAAGTCTATCATTCTATTTCACTCCCAGTAACAACTTGTCCCTACCTGAATCGCATGTGCACTTAGTTTAACTCTACACTTCTAACTTTGAAATATTATTTACTAATTTTTTAGGGTTACTAAATGAGATTTCTTTATGGACAAAAAATAGGTTTACATAGGTTCACATTTGTTCCCTATTTTTGAACAGAAGCAGATGTTTATCACTTGTTTCCTGTTTAGGATTGGTTTTCTGGGGTTTTTTTTGCAATGTCTCATTCTCTTTTGCTTCCAGTAGCTCCTTGTATCTTAGTGGCATTACTGCCTTTCTTGGGGGCGAAATGATTAAAAAAAAGAATGAAGTGTATGTTATCAGGATATGTAGGATAGACAATGGTTGCAGTATCCAGGGAAGTATGTTGTCAAGTGCATGTTCTATAAAGTAGGGGCTTGAGAAAAATTAAACAAAATGCAATATCCTATTATGAAATGTCAACAATGCACCTTAATTAAAATAATTTAATTCTAACCAATCAGTGTTAGTTGTGTGAAGCTGCTGAAGTTACTAAATAATAAATAACAAATATTAAAAACATTCTGCATCCCTAGATATAAAAAAAAGTTATCAAAAGCTCTCCATCAATTAAGCAGGTAATTTCTTTAAAAAGACCAACACTGCTGGAAAATTCTCAGTACAATCTACTTCCCAAAATATGATCAAATGACAAAACAAATTTTTTAAGGGATTCTTGGTTAGGCTGATAACTTTTCAGCACCACTTTATATATATAAATATCATTTTTAATACTTTTCATGGAGTGTACAGGTTCTATACTGATCCTAAACATAGATTCCAGAGAGTGACACTTGAAAACTAGTCAGGGCACACTGATAGTATAATCCTAAGCAGAGTACCAAATCATATATTATTAATAGTCCTTTTTATTGGTTAGTTGGTTGTTATAATTTAGTGGTATAATGACCTCAAGGGGTAATTTGATACTGAAGGGAGATAATATTTTTAGAGATACAAGTCTTACTAATAGCTAGATGGAGAAGAGATGGATTCATTTCAGAATATTTATGCTTACATGAATATAATGAACCCAACTAGAATTGGAAGTTGGGTCTCTGATTTTCAATTTCAAACTATTATATACTATAGCATTTGCGCACCCACACTTACAGCACACAGTATTCCCAAGTGGTCACCCATCTAGATACTGACCAGGCTCAATGTTGTTTAACTTTGGTGACTGTATGAGAACTGGTGTTTCAACATAATGTGGCCATAAGTCTCATTTTTATGGATACAATGCAAATAATAATTATAATGCATTAAGATACACTCTCTAATATTTTTCCAATATACAAATTCTAATGAGAAATTAAAATGCTAAAAATGATTTCAGGTTGTTCTATCAGTTGATTCTAAATGGATGTTCTGCAAGGGAAAAAGAAAAATTAAACTGCAATGAATTCGCTCTTCTTAGATTTTTTAAAAAAATATTGTTTATGTCAAACTGTACAATTGTTCAAATCTTTGCAGTGGCTATTTATTTAATCCTATTCTTTATACTTAAGTTTTGCAAATGACAAGTGATTGAAGTGCTAGAAGATAATTCTGGTAATATTAAAAACATCAGTCAGTGATGTGTCATATGTGATACACACTTAGGTGATCATGTCTTTTTCAATAGATGACTAACAAGACAGATTTTTTGTCACAGTAGGTTGTCATTTCTTTCTCCGGTAGACCAATAGCCATCCAAGGCTATAGAACCTGGTCTATCCTGCTATTTACCCATAGCTGATGGGAGAAGAAGAGGATTCATACCTTTCCCAAAGTTATTAGCACGTAAGTTAATGTAATGGATTTGACTAGAATTCAAACTCAGCTCTCTGATTCCTTAATCCAAGCCACTATCCATTACTCTCCCATGTCTCCTCTAAATTAAAAACATAGATATTTATTAATGTAGTAAAGGAAAATAATATTATCATAGAAACAACAAAAGTACCAATTTTTATAATTAAAATTTTAAAGTATTTGATTTACATTTTAATTCATACTGTTAAAATATTTATTTTTACATATATTTGTCTGCATATGTATGTATACATATTTACGTGATTCATTCTCTCTTTATATATATATATATATATATATATATATATATATATATATATATATATATATACACACACACACGAAGCAAAGATTAGCCAGTATTGATTTAGTGAAATGAGATCGTCAATAACATATTCTGTCACATTGACTTATAAGGCCCATAAACTATGAAAAAAATCAATAAATAGAATGGAGAATTATGAAGTGATCAATATGAACAAAAAAACATATATATATATATATATATATATATATATATATGATTAATCAGATTTCTGGAAAGATAAAGCATCTCACAAAATGTCATAATATATGAACATAAAAATATTAACTTTTGTTATGAATTTCTGCATTCTTTATCAAAATAATAATGATGATCAAGTTATACAGTTTCTTTTAGCAGACTGTGTGTCAATCATTATACTTTGTCATAAGTGAACTGTCTGATCCTTCTTACTACTGACCTATCAGTCTTCTACCTCTTTTTGGCAAAGCACTGGAAGCCCTAATCATTTCTGAATAGGTTAAGTATTTCACTTTGCAGAACTTTCTTCCAGACAAGCAATAAGACTTTTGCTTCTTTAGGTCAACTGCTGATGTATTAACAATTATTGCTGAAAGAATCTCTCAAGCATTAAATAAGAATTGCAAAGCTGGAACTGTTGCTTTGAACATCTTGGAAGCATTTGACAGGGTTTCACATACTGGTCTTTTTCACAAGTTGAAAGGTAATAATATAATAATAATTTTTGAACTAATTCAGTCTTTCTTATCAAATCGTGAAATGTAAGTTGTCCTGAAGAGCCACTCTTCTAGATCTTTTTGTACTAATGCAGGTGTCTGCCAGGGCTGTATCCTTTGACCTACTTTGATCCTAATTTTAATCAATGACCTTCTTAATGGAATCAGTTCTCAACTTGGTATCTACGCTGATGACAATCATTTATTCCTGTCTCAGTAGTAAGTCTGATTGGTTCAATAAGGTTATATTAGCAGCTGATCTCAAAAGTGACCTACAATCTACTGTTAACTGGGGCAAGGAATGGCTTGTTAATTTTAATGCCTCCAAAATGAAAGTAATCTTCCAAGAGACCTGTTTTTGCCTTTCATCAGCATGACTGATGCTAACCTCCAGGAGAGTAACTCATTGAACCTTCTTTTAATCTAACATTCTCTGCTGACATGAAATGGAATGATTATACTGAATCAACAGTTAGATCTGTTGATAAGAAATTTGTTTCATTGTGTTGTGCTAAAAAATTTCTCTCCAGTATCTTAAAATTTTATATGTCTAACATTAGAATATTGCTGCCACATATGGTGCAGTGCTCCTGTCGTATATTTAGAGATTCTTGATAAAACCCAAAGAAGAATATTCAATGTTATTGATCTTGACCTGGCATCTCAGCTTTCCCACTGCAATAATGTAGCTTCCCTGAGCCTATTCTATGAATAATTCCATGGTAATTTTTTTCTGTTATGAATTTAAGCACCATACTAGATTGGCAACAATATCTCATCAATTTACAGTTGAATTGGGTAGATGCAACTGTATGTTCTATGCTGATAGTTCCTTTTATCACACTTCTTACTTGCAGAACTATCTTCTCTTACCATACTTTCCTGCCAATTTTAATCTTCAAACATTTAAATGCAATATCTATTGTTATCTATTGACTTCTTGATTCCTCTTCTTTTATTTTTCTTGCTCCTTAATAATGTTTCTCTTTTTTTTTTATTCTTTCACACCTCTTGTGTCTCAGGGGCTTTACTGCCTTTCTTGGGGTGAAATGATAAAAAAATAAATATTTGGTATTCTTTATCAAAATAATAATAAAGTTAAACTGTTTCTTTTAGAAGAATGTGTCTTAATGATTATACCTGGTCATATTTGGTATTCTTATCAAAATAATAATGATCAGTTTCTTTTATCAGAATATTTTGTATCATATTAATTTACTGATCTAAATCCATTATCTATTCAAGTTAATACCAATGGATGTAAAAATTAAAATGAAAAGCAAGTAAAAAATATCTCTGTAGCAGATGAACCATATACAAACATTTGAAAGGTTTAATAAATACCAATGTATCACCAAAATATGTCTTATATTATTACAAGGGTTTGCTGAAAAATTCACAACCTAAACCACATCTCAAACTCAGTCTTCTGATGTTTGCTCATTAAAATATTCATTTTGGGGATAAGAACTTTTCATCACCCCTCATGCAGAAACAAGTTTATGGACTTCAGCTGTTGGTAAAACTTAGAAAAAATGTAATAGGGATAATGCATTAGTAAATAGTCTATCAATACAAAACAAAAAACTTTCTAAAATGAAAAAGAAAGTAAGCAATGAAATGAATTTACAAGCAACTTGCTTGTATGGACAGTTCAAATAGAACTGTCATAGTTTGCCATGAACAGATCTAATGAGGCATAACTGCTGAAAGCAAATAGCAAAGATCACATCAGATAAAAGCTATTTATACGCTTGGGTAACTTCAAGCTAATTGCAGAGAGAGTAACTGGTGGTTTTAACCTAAAAAATTAACTTGTAACATCTATTTAAATTTAAGATGCTGGTATAAAACAGTGTTAGTAGATTTGTGGTTAGAAATGTGTGTGACTGTATCTCTGCATTGTTATTATGACAATCAGTAACAATTTCAATATCCATGTCTATTCTAGGACCTGATTGACTATTCACTCACTAGTACTCTTTCATTAAATCATCTTAATATTTGAGATAAGTAACAGAAATATACTTTTTAAATCTAAGAAATATGAGAGATTCAACCTGAAGAATCTCTTTTTGATTCTTATAAATTTTTCTACCGGGACCACACTGATTTAACTGCCTTTACTTTTTGCTGATCAGACTATCCTGAGGCTGTGACTTCTTATGATGGTATGAGGTTGGCAGTTTGCTGGCTTCTGTCTCTCACTAATTGTTTGGAACCCAAACTCATTAGTAGCATTTAGAGATGCTGCTCCATTCAACTGTTGTTTAATATCAGAGTAGCTGTAGTACCATGTCGTGCATGGGTAGGTGTCCCTGCATGTATTTCTGGTAGGCAATCCTGAGGCCACATTATGCTCTTCTCTCAGCCATGCACTGCTTGATTTGTATTGCCATTGATGGCAGATAGTGATGTCTTTTTTCTCTCTCCTCAAAACATATGGAAATCACAGAAAAATGAAATAAAACTAAACCACCTACCCAGCTCAATCTTCATGGTATCTGTTCCTACTTCTGCATCATAGAATCTTTTCTCCTGGAATGGTTGCCAGATATCTTTGCCTTTTGTGAAAACCAACTTGAATTCTTTCATTGCTGCCAATGAATTCTTGGTTCCAGGCTATCTTCCCTTTTGCCAAAAAGATTCTAGCATTCACATACATGGCCTTGATGTTTACATCTTGATAGTCTACCAATGGCCAGGGAATTGTCTCTCAAGGACACTGACTACTCTTTCATGTGCTTCCATCTTTCACTGCTAAACTCTATCAGCTACCTCTTTTTTCTTTATCATTCCCCCCTCTCCCCAAGACTGCAGTATATTAAATAGATTAGCTGACATTATAGAAAAGGCACTTTCTCTCCATCCATCTATGAACATCTTTGTCTTTGGTGACTTTAATGCTCCCCATGACATGTGGCCAAAACAGTCTAAAGGTACTGATGTTTCCAGTATGCAGACATTAAATATTTTCATTGCTCAATCACTTACTCAAATCATGGACTTCCCTACTTGTTTCCCTAGCCAAAGCAAGTAACAAGTATCTCTGCTGATTTTGAACCTTCTTGCCAAGCTTTGCAACACTGTCTTCTTAGTAACTCTGACCACTCTGTGGTACTTATTAATATCTTCTTCCAAGCATCCATTAAGCAAGAACCATCTATCCATGACCTCTTTTCATTATAAGCATGCTGATTGGGACTCATTCCAGGATTTTCTTTATGGCATCCCTGATCTTCAACCTCCCAGTTAAAAGTTGCAGTTTCTTCTTGGGTCATAACTGGCATGGACACTTTCATCCCTTTTCAGAAATACCAGGTGAAACCACAATCCTGGTTTACACCAGTATGTTAGGCTGTCATAGCACACAGGACCCATTATTTCTGGCTATAACAGCATGATAGTTCTCATCATAAA